GTTACAGAAGAGCAAAATTTAAATACATAAAATAAAATAAAACACTACATGACATTGTAATTATGTTTTATTATTTTCATTTATTTAATAAATACACTGCCATTAAACAACTTAATGAATACTTTTTGAGATATGTCTATTTTGGAGTTGTAGCACCCCCCGGAGAAAAATCCACCAGCCYCCACTGGTGTGTACTACAACAACACCTGGACTGGTGGTTCTAAAAGGCACTGTGTAACACACGGAACAGAAACACAGAGAGATTAAACGTTTGGTGGGAAATCCTGAGGTCTTTCTGTGGGAGCTGAGGCCGAGCCTGGYGCCTTCTTAGTGCTGTCAGCAGGAGACACAGACCAACTGCTAGCTCACTGACAAGACGCTCACCAGCTATAGGTCCTTGAAATTCCTCCAGCTTGTGAAATAAATTTGATAGAAGAGGATAGATGACAGTACCGCTGGTTCCATTCATCCAGTGTAAGCTTAAATTGTCAACACTCGACGGGCAGATGCTGATGAAACACAGACACACTGCCTTGAACTCTCTTCACCTTAGTATGTGCATGTCTGTGTGTGAAGCCAGCACTATTAGTGAAAGCAACGATGGGAAAACATCATTAGTACACTGCAATTTAGGAAATGCTGTGTACTTAAATATGGACAAGAACAGCAACAGTAAGAAGCACGCAAACCTAAACTGAAACTGCAACATGGGTCTACGCAGTCAAGTAGGCTCCTATATGTCTTATGTATGACTTTATCATTCTGTCTCATGATTAGGGAAGATTTTGGCCCACTCTTATTTACAACATTGCTTCAGTTCACTAAGGTTTGCAAATATTAGTGTCTGCTCAGCTTTTTAAAGACTTGGTTACAGTCACGCAGGTCTCAGCAGGATGCACGCGCTCCTGATCTGAGCAGTGTGTGTCTATGCTTGACATTAACGTTGGTGCAGTTCTTTCCTAACCCACAGGTGGCAGGAGACTGACAAACAGCAAACAAAATGGCTGCTCGGAGTCTCAACAAACTTTTATTAGATGAACTTTTATTAGACGAAGAAGAGATAGTGTGTTTATTACTTTTAATCTGACAAACACATCCAGGGTTTCCCGCAGCGCATTATAAACCTGGCGGGCCTCCAGGTTTTACACGCATTTTTTCGCACATTTCATATTGTATTTCATGTTGGGGACAAACCAATTTGTCAGTAATAAAARCTGTAGAGTCAGGTCCTCAAAGTATTGGACTACAAGCTCTTAAGACACCATCATTGTCAGATTGTGCAGAAATATAACTTGTTTTCTTTTGAGAATTTTAGAGTTTTTTCAAATATGGAAACAGTATATAAGATTTTAAATGGTTTAGCACCAATCTGTTTGCAAAAATTTGTTTATTATCGTTCAGATGTTTCTTTGCCCTTAACCAGAACATCCAGGTAGAACTGTGAAGTTCCTGCTCGGCGCTCAGCCTTTGGTCAAGCAGCTTTTTCAGTTAACGCCATCGCTCAGTGGAATGCTGCTCCTGATCATGTAAAAACCTGTAGTTCTTTTATTAGTTTTAAAAATAATCTTAAAAAATATCTTAAATCTACCCAATGTTGCAATCATTGAATTGCACTGGTTAATTGATATTAAAGTTGTTTCTGGTTGTGTAGGTTGGAGGGTGGGGTGGAGGTGGGCATGATTTTATGTTTGGAGAGTGGGGTGGGGTGTTTTATGCATTTTTTAATTGCAAAATGTTTTATTTTATATTATTTTTATTTTTCTGATTTTTTTCCTCCCTTATTTCTATTTTACTGTTGGATGTTGTTTTGTTTTTACTGTTTGATGGGACTACAGATGTAAATTAGCCTTAGGCTAAATCTGGTATAATGCATCAAATTATGTTTWAATTGCACACTGTCCCGAATAAATATATCATTCATTCATTTAAGCTATTTAAAGCACCGCCACATGCAGAGAGAAACAATTTTTARTATAAAGAGCTCACTGCATTGTACTTATGACTGTGTGTGATGCCAAGTACCACTTCACGATGGTGGATTTTGGCTCATTATGGCATTACTATTGTACCACCAGCCAGTAACACTGATTTGAGTGCAGATATCAAGATGAACGAACAATAATTTGAAGCATGTGCGTTCAAATCACACATGTTCTCTACAGTGTTCTGGCACGCGCTCAACTCAAACCACTCAAAAGMCTCCATTTCTGCTCGCTCAAGGCTTTCTCTGCTCGAGCATGGCATACGTGTCAGGTGCATGGTAAAATGGTTGCTTGTCGAAGGCATGAGTCTTAGCACTCTGACCCAGGCATACCAAAGCATTTTTGTTGAATTGATATAATCTGAAGACAATTAAAACATTTATTTTAAATGCAAAGCTCTAAAACTGAAGAAGGGTAATTTTACTTTCAACAAAGTAAATTTGTCAGAGAGAAACAGTTGGCGTTACCATAACAGTTGTGTCCATCTCCTCTGTAACCAGTAGCACACTGGCAACGGAAGCTTAGGCCCTCCAGGGGGATGCACTGGGCTGTGGTGTCACAGTCGTGGTTCCCGGAGTAGCAGGGGTTGACAAGTTCATCTTCTGAGGAGTCAGCTACAAAATACACAGAGTTCAAGAGAAACAATTTCTGAAACAGAGTGTTTTTGGACAAATATAAAAAAAACCTCAAGAAAACTCATCTACACACGAGTTCTAACTCAGACCTGGATTAGTCCCTGGTCTCGATGATTACAGGACAACTTAACCAAACACACATGTAAAATCACTCCGGATGAGTTCCCATGCCATGGTTTCCTCTTCAGAAGGGAGTCCCCTTTATGTTCTGAATATTTAAACCATATGGATGAAGTTAGACACACATGTACGAGACGGCACGCAGGCAGATGAATGAGTCAGCGGATACAAGTTTCCTCATAATGTTGTGAGGCTCAGACAGAAAAAACAAACCAATCTTCATCAATAAAAACAAGACTTAAAGCAGATCACAGTGGGTGACGATGGGAATAAAATGCCAAGCCATGATTGTCGGTACCTCTAAAATTTAATGTCCCATTTGTTGGTACTTAAAAAACACAACACTTTTAACAATACCACACATTACTGTGGGTTTAAATTAACTCGGGGTCCAACTATAAGTTTACACCATGAACAATCATAGGTTTTCCACGATGTGAARGGGTTTTAGTCCAGACATTTTCTTTACAAACGAGCATTTTTGGGAACAAACAACGTCTCCAACATTTTTTACATAAARAAAACACACAGCTCTCATCTCCTCGGGCCAGAGAGCAATTTTGGCTCATTACCAGAAAGGCTCTTCAAAGTGTAGTGTGGCCAGGAAGGAGGGCAGATAAGAGGCTGAGACACATGGACTGGAGAAAAGGCTGACGGATAATTAGAGACAGAGAGGACGAAGAAGAACAGGAGTGAAGAACACACACACACACACACACACACACACACACACACACACACACACATGCACTGCACACCATCAAAGTGTTGACTGCAGTTTCCCACCTGTTGCTTCTCCACACAAATTCTTTTACAAAAAAAAAAAAAAATTTATGGGAGTATGCTGAAGGTGCATTTCTGCAACCCAACTGGAAAACATGAKATTATCGTTCTGTCACCACTGACTTTTACTCTCACATTGAACACGTCTAAAATTAAATTAATGTGATATACATCCGCAGGAAAAAGAAAGTCTGTCCCCCATTGCAGTCAGGAAGTGGTGAAATTGAGGACTCGAGGACGGATAACATAAATTAAAGAATTTAATAACAAAAAAAGGCTGACAGGGACACTGTATAGAACTAAACAATGAGAAGCATGCAGGGAAAAAGCAAGAAAATAGCAGACAGTATATACATGTACACAAGGTTATAAGCTGACGGACTGTTGAGTGAGAACTGGGAGTTTTTACATACGTAAGGAGAAATGAGAAGAATGAKTGTAGCTGGTCTGATAAAATAACAAGGGCCAGGTGAGAAATCAGTAGCAGGACCAAGGAGGGAATGAAATGTACTGGAAAAGGATGGGATTGTTCTATCAAAATACCCACAAGGAACAAAAAGAAAAAGTAGATGGAATCAAGAAAATAAAACAACTACAAAAGGATTAAAGCTAATTAAACCAACCAACAAACAAAATGTAGATTACAACACATTCAGCAAGACAAAGACTAATGAACCTCAGCAGGAAGGAGAGTGACACAAAGACCATATTGAACATTAAATAAAGGAGGAGAGTAAGATAGAGAACCTGATGAGACATCAAGATGGAGGAGTGTGAAACAAAGACCCTAATGACCCTCAGGAGTGAGATAAAGACCCTAATGACTCTCAGGAGTGAGAGAAAGACCCTAATGACTCTCAGGAGTGAGAGAAAGACCCTAATGACTCTCAGGAGTGAGAGAAAGACCCTAATGACCCTCTAGAGGGTGAAAAAGACCTTAATGACCCTCAGTAGGAGATTAAAGCTTTAATGACACCCAGGAGGAAGACAAAGACTCTAATGACCCTCCTCAATAAAGAAACCCTCGGTAGAAAGACAAAGACACTAATGACCCTCAGTAGAGAGACAAAGACACTAATGACCCTCAGGAAGGAGATAAAGACCCCAATGACCCTCCCGAGAGAGACAAAGACCATAATGACCCTCAGGAAGAAGATAAAGACACTAATGACCCTCAGGAGTGAGACAAAGGCACTAATGACCCTTGGGTGGGGTGAGACAAAGGCCCTAATAATCCTAAAAGGGGTGAAAAAGACCGTAATGATCCACAGTAAGGAGACAAAGACCTTAATGGCTTCCAGGAGGGTGACAAAGATACTAATGACCCTCAGTCATGTGATAAATACTATAATGACTCTCGGGAACAAGATGAGGTAAAAAATATACAATGACCCTCAACAGGGAAACATAGACACTAATGAACCACAGAAGGAAGGACATAAAGAAAAAGGCCCTGACTAGGAAGACCTTAATGACCCTTAAGAGGGAGACAAAGACACTAATGACCCTCAGGAGTGAGATAAATACTCTAATGACCCTCAGGAGGAGGCAAAGGTTCTAATTCCTTCAGGAGGAAGGAGAGGGAGACAAAGACCCTAATTACCTTCAGTAAGGAGACCTTAATGACCCTCACTCAAGATGGAGACAAAGACACTAATGACCCWTAAGAGGGAGGGGGTGAGACAAAGGCCCTAATGACCCTCAAGAGTGTCAAAAAGACCCTAATGACCCTCTTAAGGAGACAAAGACCTTAATGATCCCCAGGAGGGAGACAAGGACACTAATGACCCTCAGGGGGGAGTGGAGTTGCTTAAGACTAAGGCTTTCTTMTGGATTTCTCCCACCCAACTACATTTAAAACCACTAAGAAATACCAACCATCAGTAAGTCCTGATGCATRTCGGTAATTCAGGTAGAAAAAAATCAAAAAGAAAAAATAAGTWGGTCCTCTGGATGGGTTCCTTTTTAGTGAAACGTTTCATCTCTCGTCCAAGAGACTTCTTCAGTCTGATGAGTTTCAGGTGAACTCAGCCTTAAAWGCCTACCCCCACATGGTGYACAAAGAGGTCAGTCACATGCAAAAGAGGGCCATCGCTTAACAATAGGCTTGATTAGCTCTACTGTTCATAGAGGYTGTGCCCCATCACCTGACTTATTGGTTTGGATGCTGTGGTTCTTAGGTGTTGTGTCATGTGTACGTAGTGAATGCAGGCGGGGCTCAAGGTCACCTCAAAGTTCACCTGAAACTCATCAGACTGAAGAAGTCTTTTGGACAAGAGACGAAACGTTTCACTAAAGAAGAACCCATCCAGAGGACTACTTATTTTTTCTTTTTGACCAACCATCAGTAACTTAAACTTCGGTTTTTCTCATAATTTCAGGTTTTTCCTCATAATTATTCCTGGTTATTTCCCCCCAAGTTTCCTGCTAATTCCATGAAACGTTTCCAGCTTTGAAGGCTCCCCGATTACTGCAACCCCACAAAAAGTACACAACAGATGCCACCATGTCAATATCTATTAAACAATAGATGAGCACAACTTAAAAAGTTGTGTCAACCAAAAATTTAATTTTTGCTGCTTCTAAAGGATTTAAGTGCCCAGAGAAGCAGATTGAACAAAGTGATTAACTGATCAATTTTTATAAAACAACAACAAAATGAATGAAGCTGAAGCTGTTTACAGTGGATTTCTACTGGTGCTGCATATTGTTTTTAAAGTCTCCCACCATAGATTAAAATAGGACGCAGCAGACATTTACACAAGAAGAATTAATTTGATTTTTGTTTTTGTTATCACTTCACTGCCTTAAGCCTGTCTGCAGTCTGATTCTCATGACTTCACAGTGTAATTATTCTGCCCAGCAACCCCCACCTCTGCTTTTTAATTTTTTACCTTTTTTTTTTCTTTCTTTTTTTAGACAATCTGTCATTGGCTGCAATATTATTTTCCTGGAAGTCACACACACACACACACACACACACACACACACACAC